AAGAAACCCTAAACCCTAATCAACTTCTTGGGGATTGATGGCCCTGACGTTTCCAGGCCTGGGTTTCATGTGGAGCTCTCTTTTTGGGGCATGCAGGAATCCACCTCGCACTCGACTGAGCCAAGGGCTGCTCGGGAGTCTCGCGCTGCTTGCCTGGCGGACAAGAATCCGTGCATCTGCGTGAACGCCTGTGTAAGCATTCGGGTGATCTCCAGAGGCGAACCCTAAACCCTAAACCCTGAACCCTAACCGGGAGATTGGCCTGTCTCTTTCGGGTCTTTCCAGGGCTCGGCTGACTGCTCCACATCCTCCTCCTCAGAAAGCGCACTCTCCGCTTGCGGTCACAGACATCAGCCAATACCTACTATTCGCTAAACAACCCCAAAAGAATAACACATAATAATCCCAATACTACCCTTACAGTATTAAGGAATATAATTTTATCTTTTCTGGGTTCTTAAGCAATTAGCAGATAACCAGCCATGATTCTCTCTGGCGCACGTGCATGAGGACTCTAGGCTGACAAAATCTTCTTTGTGAGTTTCCTTGACACTGAGAAGACATTGATTGTGATGCTGCTCTGTCACACCCCTTTTGCAAATCCAGCTTGCGTGTGGTCCGTCTTGTTCCCTGCACGCATACGACAGCTCTTGCGGCCTCATCTAGATCCTCCAGGTCGTCTAGACCTCAAAATCGGGGACAGAAGCAGCTCATGAGTGCTCTGGGGCCGGGGCGTTGCTCTCAGCGAAGCTGATGTGACAAGCAGCGCGCAGGAGTCTTCTAGGCTGCTGAGGTTTGGGCGATCTTCAGCCCGAAACTTCGATGGGGCCCGCTCCAGCAAAACCTGCGATGCATGTGGTCTTGCAGTGGTCTTGCGCAGTACTTCCCAAGCAGTGACGAGGAATGAGCGCCTGGGAATGCTGCAAGTGACAAACGTGTCCGCTACATCGGCTTGCAAGGAAGTGCTCAGATGGCCTTCCTGCCACCCACTTCGATAGGAAGAAATCGATCGCCAATCTGCCCAGGCAACGCAGACTAAAGCTGGGCACTTTGCGAGTCGCGTTTTTGGTTCTCAATCACCTTTACCGAGCCTAGAGGACCCAGACTCTGTCCGAATTTGCCCGAGCGCATGAGCGGGAACTACCGCTTGGGGTCCGTGCATGATGCCAACCAAGCTTGGATATTTCCATTGAGCACGTTTTCGTTGGATCCGATCAATGTATGTGGACAGTTCCAGGTCTTGCCAGTGAGCGAAGGCGAATCTAGGCGGAGAGCCCATCTTGTTTGGCTATCCAGCCAAACAGATGCGAGATGATGTGAGGCTTGAGATCAGATGAGTTTTGTTTCCTCAGGGCACACCTTTCTTTGGCAAAGCAGACCAGCCGTTACACGTGAATGCAGGGAACACGCATTCGCTGAGTTTGATTCATTCAACTCGTTCTCCACTAGTGCATTGCACTAGTTGGTTTTGAGACCACCCTTTGACATCAAGGTTTCTGAGAGCCGCGCTGCAACTGCAAAAACCGGTATGAAACAGCCAACTACACTACCACAATGCCCTGAAAGTTGCACGTGGCTTGCGGCTGTGGGTGACGGAAGATGAGTCATGTTATGAATGAGCCATGCTTGTCAGTGCTGGGCCATCATCTGGAGTACCAGCTTCGAAGCCGCTAGTGTGAAAACCTTTGACTGTCATGCGGCCGTGCCTGAACCCATCCATTCCCCTTGTCCTGCATCGCGGGTGATCTAGGCCCTCTAGTCTATATACAAGGCGCGCACTCAGACACTACAGGCCGTCCTCTCCCGTGACGATGGACCCCCACTGCGCCACAGGCCGCACGTCATCGCCTGAGTCCCGGCGCGGAATCACAACTCCAAGACCTCTACGATGCTCCTGTCGTGATTTGTGCGAAAATTCCGGATCCTGGGAGCCGCAGTGAGTCGATTTTGCAGGTCCCTCTCTTAAGCTACCATATTTGACAAGCAGCGAAATCAAGTCCAATCTTCTCGCAGACCCATCCGTTCAGTTTACGTCGAAAGTTGGACGAGCACAATAAAACCACAAGTCCGAGACTGCTGGTTGCGCAGCTGAAGGTGCCGGGGTCGGGGCGGTCGTCAAGCTGCTGGCTGAATCGGAAAGCCACTCCTTGCTCTCGCAGAAGGGGTTTTTTGCCATCGAGAAAGCGACTGGAAACAAGGAATGGGACCGCTGAGCATGACGACCGACAAACCCTGCTCACAGACTGCAAAGCCTGGTGCATCTGCTTGAAGGTCCGAGTTATCCACCTGAGCACTTTCGGTGCTGTGAGGCCTCTAAAGACTGCAAAGTCTGCAAGTGCCGTTTGCTGAATGAAGAGGAGTGCTGCAGAGTTAAGCTTGCTGCAACATACTCTTTGCAAGTCCGTCGTCTGGCCTGGAAGTGGCAGCGGCCACACGCAGCCAACCCAGGTGCACCAGCCGTCTTTGGCATTGCTTAGCATGTTAGCACATCTTATTGGAAGCAGTATTTCAGTAGTATTTCTGTTCTGTCTGAAAGCCTATTGGAAGCTGTACCTTTTTTCTGCGTTCGTGGCGCATGCGATAGATCTGCAAGCTGTATCTCACTTGCACTTCGGGAAGAACATAGGTTGCTGCTGTCTCGCCTTGGCCGTAGGCTTCGCCTTACTACGGGCTCAGCCTTGGCCAGCTTTTCTCTCCATAACCGCGCGGCCCTCTCACAGAGGGTACTCTGGCCCCCGGCGGCATCTCGTGCTGTCGAGAAAGAGCACTTCTTGCAGTGTGTTTGAACGTGATATACTGCCTCCGGGCAGTGTTTTTCTATGTTTCCGCGTGCCTACTTCATACTGAGCGTCTGTGTAATAATAACACCCAAAAAATACTTTGTGTGTCGAAAAAGTCTGCGATGTAGTCGCCACTTGGCGATCTGGTATTATCAACCGTTTGGCCTCGGGTCAAGCACGGAACTTAGTCTCGGCAAGGAGACCGTTTGCTTGACGTAGCGAGCAGCAAGCCGATCACCTGGAGTTTCGACATGTACCTGTCTATGGTGCCCATCACTTCCCTCAAGTATCCTCAAGTATTTGACGCGCTTACTCTGGAATTTGATAGATGATTTGTCGATCTTGAGCATCCGCTTGCCTCCATAAGCACCACGCAACTCGATTACATTACTCAAGCCCATCTGTGATGCACGCGCCTCGACTTTGATGAAATTGTTCCTCCATACCTGAGTTTTTTTCGAGCCTTCGAGAAGACTTGGTATCCTGGTAAGAGACCGCTCTCCTGACTTGGGCATCCTGGCCCAAGCCCTAAACCAAGATGGCGTCGCGTAAGAACCCCCGTGGAAATATCCTCCACGTGAGTGAGAATACATTTGTAGTTTTTCAAACGATCAAAAATTTAATATAACATTGAGGAGGAAAAGAAACTGGCTCCATTCTCGAGAGCTTCAACGAATTGCCCCCGCGTGCCCAGTTCTGTCGTTTCATCGTGATCTCGTTCATGCGCGTGTCCGGCAAGGTACGAAACTCTCGCGCATGTTGCCGACTGACATTGGCCTGCGACCGATTTTATCGTAGGAGTGCTTCGACATCCTCAACCTGGAACGTGACAGGTGTACGAGCTGCTGCGGAGCAGTCTGGCATTGGGTCGGAGGTAGACGGCTGTGGAGGAGCTGGCCACTGGGTCTCAGGTGGGCGGCTCTGTGCAGGAGCTTATGGCAGCTTTCAGGTTGAAGAATGCTGCAGCTTTGCCAATTTAGACACATGCCCGCGTAGCTGGTCAGCATGTGGCATGCGTTTCGAGCTTAACGGGGTCTGCAGCTCGGCCATCTTGTGCAGTGGTGCTGGGTGAAGCTTTTGTGGGTGGTGTCCTAGGTTGTCGCGTGGACTGCACTCTGGCTGACCTCATTTTCTGGGCCAAGATGGCGATGACGCCTGGTGCTCCTCGATGTCTTGTGTGGTGAGCACATGCTTCGGGCTTTCATCTCGGGTCGACATGGCTGACAAACGTTACCCTGACACTATGCTGCCATCTAGGGCAAACACTTGTGCCCAAAGGACAACGCCAGTGACTGCCAAGAGCGTGCATTATGCGCGCATCGTAGCACATGTCAAGTGCAGCTTCGCAGCTTGGGATGGTCGGATGAACTCCTCCGCTTCAAAAATCGCATCTTCTGGCAGCGTGTACCTTAGGGCACGGAGGAAGTGGAGCCCTCTGGGCCCTCGGGTCTTGGAGCAAAGTCCGATTGTCCCAATTTCCCGCGTCCCATACCTACTGGGGTCATCTGTTCAATGGCAAACATGGATACACTTGAACCGAGCCGAAGACTGTCCATAGTCGACACAGTCCTTGACAGAGTCATTTCTTGAGCATACCTAAAGTCTGATCGCCGTCCACGACCTAACAGGTTCCGAGTCTAAAAGGAATGAACATTTTCAATGTGACCTGACCTCGTCCTCATGGTCTTGGTTGGCAGTTGCACCTTGGCGTGTAGTAGCCTATTCTTGGCCGCAACAAACTTGCAGACAAGTCGACTGCGTGTAACGACTGGGCAGCCGTGCCAAAATACGCGAGGGCATACGGTGACTGGAACCTCGCACTGTGAAAAGGCACTGCAACTTTTCGAATTCGTCGGCGGCACATCCGGTCATATCGGGCTGCTGGATTGACTGCAGGTCAAGCGTGCGCAGTGGGAACATAAACCCCAGACCCCCACATAGGACGAAGCGCACGGCAAGCACTTTTGATTTGCCAGCGCTGGTGACGTGCACGTTCCACACAGGCAGCAGCTCCGCCACCTGTTCTGTGCAAACACCTATGCTGCATCGGCTTGGGAAACTTTATGCATCAATGAGAGGGACAAACTGCCTGCGTTTATCAGCAACTAAAGGCAGCGTCGAAGCACCCTCCGCGCCTCAGGCATGTAGCTTCCAGCGGCTCCAGCGCAAAGAGATCACAGCAACACCATAACCCAGCTCTTAGGCACTGCTGTTGAACCATTAAAAGCCTCTGTACCCTCTGCCGGGTGGTTCCACTTTCTGGAAGCCCCAGCGACGGCGCAAGCATTTGGTGCAAACGCATCCTGGGCATTCGAAGGGGTTACGTTCAAAAGTACTTCTTTCTTCTTAATGTCCCTTGACAACTGTGCTGTCATGTGTGCTGATTTGCACCACTTTAGCCGTTGCCAAGCTGATGGATGCTTCCGGTCGGATCCTCTGGCAGCTCGCACCAGTGGTAAGCAAGCGTCCTGGTTTATGCGGCTGCCCGTCGCAGGTCGCCAGTTTCGGCGCTCCCTCGCATTGGACGGCAGTGGCAGCAGCCGCAGCTTCAACCTGCCAGGAAATGTATGAGATGCTAGTACTAGTCGCTCTCTGTCTCTCACACAGGAAGGCCAGTGCTGAAATGGAGAGACTGGAGTGAAGATGGCACGGTACATGTTGATCACTTCAAGGCTTGGACATGTTTGGACACTTGTACTGTATTTCCCTTTAAGCAGCCAATGCAAAGGAGCAAATTGAGAAAGAGGCCTCTTGCAAAGCGGACTCCCGAGGTACGAGCATCGAGGTGCCTCGCCCAACCAGGGACGTCGGCAAGGCCAACAACTATACTCCCCTTAGAACCTGACTAAAGATAATAGTAATTTTAATATCCTCTTGGGTTTTATATCCGCCGACCCCAGCCAGGGGCGGCGTCAGTGAAGACCCACTGCTTCTTAGTACCGCCCTCACCCCCCAGCCCCCCTCCCCGCCCCCACCTAAGCCCTTCCCTTACCCTCTAGCACCCCATGCCTTTAGTGCTTCATCTACAGCGTCCAGTGCATGCCCAACCCCCGCGCCACCCCCGCTCTCAGCGCTCCCTTCCCTACCCCGACCCCCCCCACCCCCCCCCCCCCCAAATCGACACCCTCTGGGTCATAGTATCTCTTACAAAGAACCCAAAGCCCCTCAAATGAGGGCCGATCACGGCAATGCTTGGCGTTTCGGGCTTGGGGTTTAGGGGGTTTTGGTGTTTTGGGGCTTTTGCGGTTTTACGGTTTTGGGGTTTCGGGGTTTTGGGGGTTTTAGGGTTTTTTTAGGGCTTTAGTGTTTTCGGGTTTTCGGTTTAGTCCTGGTTGTCCATCTGAACCAGCTGGGCTGCCGGGGTGATGGCATAGCGAAGCAGATCTGCCTGATCCGTACCCTCAAAGCCACTAATTAAACCCCAAACCCTGAACCCTAAGCCCCGTCACATGTGAGATCGACTGCGCATGTGATCAAGCTCCTTTTCCATCTGCGCCCTCGGAGATTAACGGGTCTCTACCTCAAACACGCGCGAGGAGAAGTGCCGCAATGAGCTGGGAAACTTCACCCCTTCCAAGCTCTGGTCGAAGACGTCGCCGAAGGTCAAGGCCTGTAGGCCGCTGGGAAGCTGCACCCCTTCCAAGCTCTGGTTGAATTCACAGCCGAAGGTCAAGGTCTGTAGGCCGCTGGGAAGCTGCACCCCTTCCAAGCTCTGGTCGAAGCTGAAGCCAAAGGTCAAGGTCTGTAGGCTGCTGGGAAGCTGCACCCCTTCCAAGCGCTGGTTGAATCTGTGGCCGAAGGTCAAGGTCTGTAGGCCGCTGGGAAGCTGCACCCCTTCCAAGCTCTGGTTGAAATCATAGCCGAAGGTCAAGATCTGTAGGCCGCTGGGAAGCTGCACCCCTTCCAAGCTCTGGTTGAAATCATAGCCGAAGGTCAAGGTCTGTAGGCCGCTGGGAAGCTGCACCCCTTCCAAGCTCTGGTTGAATTCAGAGCCGAAGGTCAAGGTCTGTAGGCCGCTGGGAAGCTGCACCCCTTCCAAGCTCTGGTTGAAATCATAGCTGAAGGTCAAGATCTGTAGGCCGCTGGGAAGCTGCACCCCTTCCAAGCTCTGGTTGAATTCAGAGCCGAAGGTCAAGATCTGTAGGCCGCTGGGAAGCTGCACCCCTTCCAAGCTCTGGTCGAAGCTGAAGCCAAAGGTCAAGGTCTGTAGGCTGCTGGGAAGCTGCACCCCTTCCAAGCGCTGGTTGAATCTGTGGCCGAAGGTCAAGGTCTGTAGGCCGCTGGGAAGCTGCACCCCTTCCAAGCTCTGGTTGAAATCATAGCCGAAGGTCAAGATCTGTAGGCCGCTGGGAAGCTGCACCCCTTCCAAGCTCTGGTTGAATTCACAGCCGAAGGTCAAGGTCTGTAGGCCGCTGGGAAGCTGCACCCCTTCCAAGCTCTGGTCGAAGCTGAAGCCAAAGGTCAAGGTCTGTAGGCTGCTGGGAAGCTGCACCCCTTCCAAGCGCTGGTTGAATCTGTGGCCGAAGGTCAAGGTCTGTAGGCCGCTGGGAAGCTGCGCCCCTTCCAAGCTCTGATTGAAATTATGGCCGAAGGTCAAGATCTGTAGGCCGCTGGGAAGCTGCACCCCTTCCAAGCTCTGGTTGAAATCATAGCCGAAGGTCAAGGTCTGTAGGCCGCTGGGAAGCTGCACCCCTTCCAAACTCTGGTTGAATTCAGAGCCGAAGGTCAAGGTCTGTAGGCCGCTGGGAAGCTGCACCCCTTCCAAGCTCAGGTTGAAATTATGGCCGAAGGTCAAGGTCTGTAGGCCGCTGGGAAGCTGCACCCCTTCCAAACTCTGGTTGAATTCATAGCCGAAGGTCAAGATCTGTAGGCCGCTGGGAAGCTGCACCCCTTCCAAGCTCTGGTCGAAGCCATCGCCGAAGGTCAAGGTCTGTAGGCCGCTGGGAAGCTCCACCCTTTCCAAGCTCTGGTCAAAGCCGTCGCCGAAGGTCAAGGCCTGTAGGCCGCTGGGAAGCTGCACCCCTTCCAAACTCTGGTTGAAATCAGAGCTGAAGGTCAAGGTCTGCAGGCTGCTGGGAAGCTGCACCCCTTCCAAGCTCTGGTTGCATCTGTGCCCGAAGGTCAAGGTCTGTAGGCCGCTGGGAAGCTGCACCCCTTCCAAGCTCTGGTCGAAGCTGAAGCCAAAGGTCAAGGTCCGTAGGCCGCTGGGAAGCTGCACCCCTTCCAAGCTCTGGTTGAACTTAGAGCCGAAGGTCAAGGTCTGTAGGCTGCTGGGAAGCTGCACCCCTTCCAAGCTCAGGTTGAAATTATGGCCGAAGGTCAAAGTCTGTAGGCCGCTGGGAAGCTGCGCCCCTTCCAAGCTCTGATTGAAATTATGGCCGAAGGTCAAGGCCTGTAGGCTGCTGGGAATCTGCAGCCCTTCCAAGCTCCGGTTGTAGCTGTGGAAGGTCAAGGCAACAATGACATCCATGGCATCCGTGTCTTGATCCAATCCGGTGTTCTCTAATGCTCGCTTCATGCTGCGTGCCGCGCAGCCTGCGCCACGTTTACGCACCACATATGTGAGTTCTTGGTTCTGAGTTTGTCGCAGCAGCGGCTGGTGCAGTTCGAGGAGATGCTCACCTGAAGTCAGCACGATTGACCCTGCGGAAAGGCCGACACTTCCTGCGATGCGTCTCCGCACATCCAGCCCCGTTTCCGCATCGTCCACATGAAGCTCAAACGTGGAGCCGGCAAGACAGCGTATGGTCAACGGCCGCATGCTGGCGACAAGACTTGACGAAGAATGGCGCAAAAGTGAATGGGAACTTCAGTTCAGTGAACGTGAAATAGAGAACTAGGCGAACTTACCTTATGTCCCCACGGACGTGTAGCATGACTTGAGAAAAACAAGCTGATTCCACCTCTGAACCTGCAAGGATGAGTATAGATACTGGCACGGAGCTAGGGATTAAATTAAGGCTCGGGGTTGAGGGCTACACTTCTAGGGTTCAGGGCGGGCTTAGGGGATTTCAGGGTTAGGGTGTAAGGGTTTTTGTTTCCCACCTGCCTGACTGACTCCTACCCTAAACTAAACCCCAAACTCAGGGCCTAGGCCGCCCCCCTACATTGGGGGGCGGCGCTTAAGCCCTTCGACCTCGACGGCGCAAGCCGACCCAGATCGCTCCCACAACATGGGGGTCGGTAGCCTACCACCCCCCGCCCCACCCCCCATCCCCCCTCCGCCCACCCCTCCGGCCCCCACTTGTTTTCCCCCCCACCCTAAGCCCTTCCCTTGCCCTCTACCCCCAGCCCCTCTGCCCGTTTACGCCCCCCTGCCCCACCCTAAGCCCTTCTCTAGCACCCCATGCCCTCCGTGCCCCAACCCCAAACCCTCAACCCTAAACTTTAAACCCTGAACCTTAAACCCTAAACCCCAAACCTAAACCCGAAACCCCCCAAACTCTAAACCCTAAAGCCCCCCCAGTTCCCTTCCCCCCCCTACCCTTCTTTAGCGCTTCGTCTCTGGCGTTCCCGTCACGCCCAACCTACCCTTCCCCAACCCCTTCCCCGCACACCCCTCTACCCTCTACCCCCTCTCCGGGCGCAAACCGTTGGAGGATGGTCCCAGCTTGGTTCCGGATCACCATGCAACTTCGAGTCTGGGATGCTGGGTTTGAGGCTTAAGGTTTCGGGATGTGTGGGTTCAGGGTTTACGGTTTAGGGTTTCTGGATTAGGGTTTTTTGGAGCTTTCAGTACAAACCCCAAAGACCCTAAACCCAACGGCAGGCCGGCACTTGGCCGACGAAGTGGCAGCACTGTCGCTGCTGCCGACCAAGGGCTCCCTTCGAGCTTCAGGCTTCTGGGGCTGAGGCGCTTGAAGCCCTTGAAGCCCCAAACCTCATAAACGTCTGAGGGCTGAAGGTTGCCAAAGGTTAAAGCTGTCAGGATTCTAGGGTTTTGGAGGTAATGACAGTGAGTGTGGGTATGAGGTGGTTGGTAGGGTTTGGGCTTTCAGGTATTCTAAGTGGGGCGTGGGGTTCAAAACCTCGGGCTCGAGCGCAGCTGCCGGGGAGTGTCTATAGGACTTTGAGTTCAGGATGTACTTAGCTTAGCCCTCCACCCCAGTCCCCAACACTTTACCCTTACAAGCCCTGCCCTGGCACTTCAACTCTAAACCTTGGCCCTTCCTGCTGCGATGCCTCTGTCCCGCCTAGTCCTAGCCTGCGGCGCACGCTCAGCCGCTCGGCTAGCCTACACTAGCCTACCTCTGCCGGACTAGTGAACCCTAATGCCCTGTCTGGGGTCGGCGGCACTGGCGCTAGCCGCTAAATCAACAAAAACAAAAAAACAATTATCAAAGGGATATAGACAAGGGCGGCAGGTGGGGGGAGGGGCGTTTGGCATGAAGCAAGCTACAGGTGGCTCCCGCTTACGGCAAAATCCAGTCCAACAAGGGAAAATGATTAAACCCTAAACCCTAAACCCTAAACCCTGGAAAATGATGCTGAAGACTTCTCTGTGAATGTCAAGAGGCCGGGCTCAGCTTCCTTTGCAGGCTTCGCCACAGGAGCGCCCTCAAGGCCGAGCTGCTGGGTTGAAGCTAAGAAGGACTCTACCTCAGTCTTTTGAGCAGTGGCCTCAAGGAGTCTCTGAGTATCCTGCAGGCGTCTGGAGCCTCAGCCCAATGATCATTCAACTCAGGGCAGCTCCTGTGATGGGAGCCTGCGCATTGATTCAATCCTTGGCGGGCATCGGTGTTCGCCACCTGTGTTTTGCATCCCGCAACCTCTAGTCGCATCCGAGCATCAGTCGCGGCCACCCCTCATGCTCCTGGATCTCTGACATGTGGCCACTCTTCGTCAGGACTGCAAGAGTTGCCTGCGCAGGAAATGTGCTTTCTGGCAACTGCCATTTCGGTCGACACCCTCGTTCATTGATCTAACATCATAGCTGATTCAAGCCCTGTTGTGCATTAGGTTTCAACAGGTTCGCGAGACCCTCTCACCCCCCCCTTCCCCTCCCCCCCCTTCCCCCCTTCCTTCCCCTCCCCTTCCCCCCCCCCCCCTCCCCACGATTTTGAAGTCCATGACGCTTCTTGATCGAGCCCCTGTCCTTGGAAGCCAGGTCCTATACTTCTGGTCCTGGAGCCCCTACCTTGGCCAGCGTTGTGGCTTTAGAATCTGTAGCGCTCGGGCAGTGCCGCTGCGGTTGTTGGGGCTCTCTGCCAGCTGCAGGGCTCATGGGCTTGATCACAAATTCCATCTGCTCCTTGCCCTCCGGGAGTGCTCTCTTCCTTGTTTCTCAATGCACTTCACAAAGGGGGAAGTGCCTGCAGAGCCAAGCGCACGAAGTACGAGTCGAGAACCGGAGACTCTTTAGGACAGGACATCACCCGGAGGAGGTCTCAATTTCCCAGTGGTGGGCCGGGGGTGGTGAGGGGGTGTCCATGGCGGTCCCATACTGTGCCTCAGAGCATCCCGTTTTGCAGCCCGTCGCAAGCCCAGCAGAGCTTCATGATCGTTGTGGGCAAAAAGTCGGCATCAAGTCAGCTTCTTGAATGCGGAAGGTTCTTCAAGTCTTTGACCTGCGTCCTCCAACTTACGTCTGTACCCCAGAGGCCGAGGCGGAGGCGCAATCCGTTAGTACAAGTGCTGCCATTACATACAATAGGCTGTATCATTTTCCTTCGAAACCCTAAACCCTCAACCCTAATCCCTGAGAGTCGAAAAGCAGCCTCCCCCGCTTTGTGCCAGTGTGAGTCCTCAAACCCTAAACCCTAAACCCTAAACCCTAAACCCTAAACCCTAAACCCTAAACCCTAAACCCTAAACCCTAAACCCTAAACGCTAAACGCTAAACGCTAAACGCTAAACGCTAAACGCTAAACGCTAAACGCTGTGCTGTGCTTTTGTTGTGGCACCTCGGGGTCCAGGAGGGCGGCGGCACCCAGGAACTCTGCACCTGACAGGGAAGGAAGCGCCCCCAAGGCGCTATGGTCAGTTCTCAAAATTATGGTCCCCCTTTGGGTGCCCTAAATGTTGCGGGTCGCCTGAAAACAGTCACCCCTGAAAGGGATCTGAATTTAGAGAAGCCCCCCCCCCCCGCCCCTCCTCCCCCATATCACTCTCCTGCAGCTTACGCACTACGGATTTCCAATCAAATCTCGTCTTCCGCTTCGGACTGATATCGGGTGACCAGTCACCAACACGTCATGCCAGCGTACCAGCAACGAACCAACCAAACGACCCTACAACATACAACAACCTACTACGCCCCTAAACCCTTTTGAGCAACGGACTTTGGGGGCTGCCGGCAAGCATGCAGCTTCTCAGAAGTCACATCACGCAATCTGACGCAATCTGTGCTATATGGCTCGTGCATCACGAGGCATGAACTAAAGCTTGAAACACAAGGCACACTCACACACACTCACTCATCCATCTCCATATTCCTGTAGGCGCTGCAATCGTTCTGCTTTCCTTCTTTGCTTCGTCTCCATCCGATGTTTCCTATGTTGATCAATCAGGAACTGATGATTTCCTTCCGGCAGGTCCAGCGGACTCTCATGAAGAGGTTGTGATGTTGCGACGCTGCTTGCCCGAGCTGTAGTCCCAACTTCTGGCAGACATACATCCGTGGAGACTTTCATACCATGCACCAGTGCCTGCATCTGACTAATCCGTGAGTCAAGATCAATCTCCATGCGGTGAATGGTTGCATCTCGGTCTTGAATGATCATCTCTGTCTGCGCAAGAAGCTTCTCGAATCGAGCCTGAGCAGTCTTCAACACTCCTTCAGCAACAGCCTTGCACTCCATCTCAGTGCACATGTTTGCTTCGGTTTGTATGGACGCGTCGGCAAGATGCTGCGTCTTGCAATCTTGCAAAGCATCATACAACCTGACGATCTGGCGCTGGGCAACAGCTTCATCCAGATGGACATGTGCAAAATCCTGTCCGAACGCAGTGTAACGCAGACTTCAGGTGTTCTGTCACACTTGGCACCTCCATCTTGTAGGATACACGCAAGGCGTAGGCAACACAGGACGTCAACCGTCGCTCCATTGCAGCTCACTTGGGGAATGCACGAATTGGGATTTTGCCAGATTATGGCCTCGTAGCAGAAATGGCTTGAGCCAAAATGGCTTGAGCCAAAATGGCTACGGTGCCCCTAAACCCTAAACCCTAAACCCTAAACCCTAAACCCTAAACCCTGAACCCTAAACCCTACACCCTACACCCTACACCCTAAACCCTAACCCTAAACCCTCAACACTAAACCCTAAACCCAAGGATTTTGGGAGGAAGGCCTCGTGAAACCAACAAGCCCAGGCGTGAGCCATCGGGCGCACATCGCGGCTCTTCGCCCTCCTGTGGACTGGTCCTAAAGCCTAAACCCTAAACCCTAAACCCTAAACTGGTGCGCAGGACTGTGGGCCTTGGGCCTGGGTGATCATTCAGGAAGGTCTTGGTTCCCTAGGGTTTTAGGGTTTTAGGGTTTAGGGTTATAGGGTTATAGGGTTATAGTTTTAGAACCTCTACAACATGTCTACAGCTGCACCGAAGACCCCCTAATTAGCGTGTGGGTCCCAGAACTCCATCTCCTGCTCAAACTTGGCAAGGAAGGTTTCCAGAGGCGCCAGCAAAAGATCAGCATGCGGGCCTTGACCTGCCTGACTCAGCACGCGAGTGGGCCCTGAGTGAGGCTCTTCTTCAGTGGCCCTGTGCAAAGCATGCAAAGCGATCCTTCTCCCGCCTGCTTGTATCTGGACAGCTGCGAGCACAGCCGCCCGCAACGGGACCAAGCGTGGGACACCTCAAAGTCTGCGGAAGCTTGCGGCATTGAACCGTCTTCGCGGTAGAGCACAACTGATCCTAGCAATACGTAGGCACGAACCCTGCAAAAAAAGAACGCAGCCAAGTCTTCACCCCACGGAGTCTCACCCAACCTGACCAATTCCTGCACACTGTTACCCGAGGTTCATGAGGTAGCTCTAAGCACGGTCATAAGTGCCCTAACTGCGGTTATAAGAATAAGTACCATACTTATAACCCTACTTATAGCTTAAAGCCTAAACCCTAAACCCTAAACCCTACTTATAGCTGCCCATGAACCGCCAGGTGCTCATGGCGCAACATGACATCCCTGCCAGGCGGCGGCTTGGTGCAGCTTCACGCGGCTGGCCTGCAGTCCAGCCTTGCCTGGAAACGGCGGTTTAGGGTTTAGGGTTTAGGGTTTAGGGTTTAGGGTTTAGGGTTTAGGGTTTAGGGTCAACTCCGCACATGCTGCTAAGCTCAGCTTGCGCTTTCGGCAAGATGCTCGGAGAGCTGGCGCTTGGCTTGGAGGGGCTGAGTGGCTTGACATGGGGACTTTCCGCGAACTCAACCGCGAGAGGCAGGAAAAGCTAGCAGTAGAACTGCACACCCAACTGAAAGCAAGCCGCGGCTGGTGCGGCTTTGGGCCGGCGTGGCCTCATCAGCGGCTCCTGTTGGTGAGGTCCGATACTGCTGGGCTTCTTCATTCATGCCGGTGAGGGGGGATGCTTGCGAAACTGCCAGGCTTTCACAGTATGGAATTCCTCCAAGTGCAGAACCCACAAAATCCCGCCACAGCCTCGATTCCTAAGCAAATTGTCGATCTCATCGTCAGTGTCTTGGGAGTCTCCAAATGCTTCGCTGCTTCTTTTTCGCGGCGACCTGACTGCTCGCTGGCTCACGCAGAGATCTCTTTCTTAGGCTTGAGGGTTTGTGCATGGCTGGGAAGACCGGTCAGCCCACTAGTCAAACATTGACCATGTAATTTGCCGTTCAGCGTCGCGCTGACTCCAGTCTCGTCATCCTGCTTCTCGGCCGATGCCTTCGAACCCAGCAGGACATCCTTCATCTGCTGGAGAAGCTGAAACTCCTCCTGGTCGCCCCCTGCAGGGACCGCAGAAGCCCCATCAACAACAGCGTCATCAAACTGCCTGGACATGTTGGCTGAATTGCTGAATGACTCTCCGATACCGAAAGCACCACTGCTATTACTGCTATCCGCTGCTATCCCCAAGGGACCTTTGTCAGGATGTAGCTCCACGGCGCGTCTCTTGAAGGCCTTTGTGATGGATGTGCTGTCGGCTGACTGCGCAAGTCCTGCAGTAACCATGGGAAAAGCTGCCGCCTGGCCTCTACATAATGCTTGCATCAATGCAGCAACTCTGCATCCGCAGAATCGAAGCAGACTTGCCACTAGAATGCCTAAAATTGGAAATCTACGTTGTTCATGCGTGGCAGGTCCCAACATCTCCAGGGCCAGCTGCTTCTCGATCAGCAGCAATCGCGCCGCCACCTGGCAAGAGAACCATACCCTAAACCGTAACCCCAAACCCTAAACCCCAGCCCTACCCCTAAACCCTAAACCTCAGTGTATCTTGCATGTATGGTCTTGACCTGCTCCTTGCCGTGGCTTTTCCCACTTCTGCGAGCTGCTGATGTCGGTCGGTGTGCTGTTGCTGCCGTTGGTGGTTGAGTTGTCCTTCTGGCATTTGGACATTCGCGATTCTGGCATTCATAGTAGCCGCAATTTTGATGAGACATGTAGTTTGCGATTGTTACAGTACTGCTGCCCTTCTGTTGTTGTCAGTGCTGTTGTTCTTGTTCTCGCGCAACGAGAGTCCACACACGCCTGCCCGCGCCATCCATCCAACTGCAAGACCTCCTGTGCCAGCTTGCCTTCGGACAGCTCCTGTTGCACAAGGCCCACACGAGTATCATTGAGCTGTTGGCTGAGCTGAGACCATTCTTTGAGCTACGGTTCAGGCCGTGGATGACAAAAAAAAGTTGACGCTCGATGATGTCAGACGCTGCCTTAGTTTATCAGCCCCGAGTCCTGGGGAAAAGAACTCAAGTTGAACAACTGCTGAAGATCCTGAAGCCTGAGCCACGATCCCCCCAAAGCCTTGGTGCGCAAAAGGATGCTGGGCTCTTTGTCTTCCAGCTCCTTCAAGGTACTTCAATGCACGCCTACCACCGACACTAGGGCAGTGGCATCTTGCGGCAAAGTTGGCTCAGTGTCCACTGTCGCATGGCTCAAAAGTTACATGCTTGGTTATATATTCTTCAGTCAGTGCAGCTCACCACTCCATGCCGACTGGCACACGACCGAAAACCCAAATATGCCGTGGAAGCCCTCAGAATTGGGAGGCACCCCAGAACTGGGCTCCTGCAGAAGCCTGGCCGGCGACACCTGGCCGATCCGCCCTTGCACCTGCTGGAGAGCCTCTGCACACCAAGCAAAGGGGCTTAAGTGGTGGAAGCCATGAGCTCAACCCGCACCTCCTCCAGCGAATCGCCACTGAAGAGGCTCTGCAACAATGGGTGCACCTGTGCAGATCTTAAAACCTCCGGCCCGCGGAGATCAGTTTCAAGCCGACTGTACCCAAGCGAAGCTTGGTGTGTCGCGCGAAGCTACTACGGTTCCACCGGTCGACCGTAGTGGCAGCAAAGGTGCCAGCAGCGGAAGCCCGCAAAAGGCAATCGCTTGAGCTGCGTCAATGTCGGCCGCATTGAGCAGCAGCTGCATGCATCCTCATCGGGTTCCGCGAGTAAGCTGCAAAGGCACGCAGCCTCTTCAACTTCAAGTGAAAGCAACTTATATAGCTAGTAGAAGCAACGTTTCCGCTCACATCGGCATCGTGCTCAGCTCGCCCATCGTGGACCACAAGCCTAGGGAATCGTGGCAGCTCGTGTTCTGATCGCAAGATGCGCATCCCAGCCAATTTCGGATGCTTCGTCCCAAACATGAGCCAACCCTCCCGTGCTGAATGGGTTGTCCGCACCGCACAAATATGCAACCGTATGCAAACTTGAGTTAGCAGGGCAAGCTGGAGGATTCAGATTCATATCGTCCAACTTCAATATGGCATGTCCCCAAACCTTCTCACCGACGTATGTGGACTTTCCCGGAAGCTTTTAAATGCTTCTCTATGAAAGAAGCCCCGTCACTTGGGGCGCACATGCCAACATAATTACATGAGTTCGCCAGCCAGGTTTTGAGATGAAAATCACTCAAATATTACAAGTCTCATTTGATTCACATGAAACTGCCTCGTAACAGAATCTCTTTCTCAATGAAACTTTCAAGTAAGACTTCTTAGGGCCTTGCCAGCTGCTTCTCTTGCCGGACTCAGGCTTACTGCCAATGCTTCAGGCCACATACGAAGGAATGGTTTTGTGCCCCCTGGTTTGCAACGGCACCATACTTGGAATCGCATCGACGGTTCGTGCGCACGCGCACACACGCACATCCCACACATCTTCGAACATGCTGCAATGCTTGAAGATATACACGGTCTGTATCTACTGTATGCAAAGAAAAACATGTACAAATATACACGCACGTGTGTGCACATACACACTTGTCTTAGAACCTCCTAGAAAGACAAGCTCATCAGGCCCAGTGGCGGCTTGGAGCAGCTCGCCTCTTCGCGGCGCTCCTCTTCATCCAGCTGCTCCAGCAAATCCTTTGGAGCGTCTTCAGGTCAAAGCAAAAAAAATTTTGAAGCCCTGAAGGGCAACCCTTCTCTTCGTCCGCCGTTTCGGTAGGATAGGAATTTTCAGGAACTCTCGTGTGCTGCACATTACTGCACCAGGTAGCCGCCAGCGTGGGCACCTTGTGGCCGGCCGTCATTGCTGCACCGGTCCAGGAACTAAGCCGAAGGACTTTTGGGCTGCGGGTCGTGGAATGTCGTGGCTCTAAGATGTACAGAGTTGCCGTGTAGCCAAAGACTGGGCCAAGCCCGGACAAGTAGAGGACCTGCTCATGATTTTAGGCCATTTAAGTTAGCCCTCAAGCTAGCCGGCGTCTGCTTGACACCTACTGACACCTTCAGATAGCGTCAGCTGCCAGGAAGTTTAGTTAGATTGAACAACTCCCTCCAGGTGCTCACATGTGCGCTTTCCAAACCCTTCAAACTTCAAACTATCGTCGTGTGAAGACATCATGCTCCACGAGCTAATTGGAGGTTCATGGGTAGTTATAAGTAGGGCGATAAGTACCCTAAGTAGGCCTATATCTAACCCGACTTATAACTACCCATGAACCTCCAAGCACAAGCGTACAAGCCACAATGGCTGCGCATCTGCGACTGGGGGAGCTGGGGCTTGCTCTGCTTTCCTCGCCCTGGATGCACAGAACTTGGCACCTCGAGCTCTAGGCTTCCGGCGCCGCTTGCTCCGCGGGGCTCAACTTCTGGAAACTGACGTCGTCAGCAAAACACCCGGCGGTCTTGCTACGACTGCTACGAGGCTCAACTTTCCAGGACAGGCACAGGTTTTTTGACGTCACTGGGCAATGGACACATGGATGGGCAGGCCCCATGACGCTCTGTCGCACAGTTCCACAACATGCTCGTGACCCCTCAGGGCCTGTAGCCGGACTTTGCTGGTGCCTCCGGTGCTTCCTTTGGCCGTGGCTGCAGCAACTCGGCTGCAGAGGCCTCAGTAGGCCCAACATGTACCTAGCTTGCGCGATATTGCATGTGGATTAAGCAAGCATGTTATTTGCAGTTGTCTGTGTTTTATCCCTTCTTGGTGGCTTTTCTTTGTCGCGCCACACGGGTCCGCCGTTGGGTGCGGGTGTCGTCTTGTCCAACTCATGTCCGTGCGTGTGAGCTTGGTGCGTAGGCTATCGAAGCAGCTTGCCAGTTCTTCGAGCTGGCCTCACTCTGCCTCCGATTATGCCTCTCCGCTTCAGCACGCCCCACGCCGTGTGCTTCTTCAAGTTACCAAGAACCTGCTATCGCTTGTTTGCTCTCTATTGCCTTCTGCACATGCTTCTTTCATTTTCCAGAGCCACAGGTGGATTTTCTGTCAATCAACCAACTGCCAATGCCAAAGCTGAGTGCGGGTCATCAGATTGCCGCTCTCGTGCCAGGGCCTCCGCAGCGGTTGCCTGTCAGGCTGCAGTTGGAAGAATCTGCGGGAGGCACAGGGTGCATTGGACATAAATGGGGTATCTCAGCATGCGACTCCAGCGCGAGAAAGCACAATTTCAAACTATGGCCGGGAAACAATTCCAACTGGTGCAGACGGTCAGCCGATTACAAACAACATCTGCCCAGCCAGTTGCATGCGTCGTCTGCAGTTGCACTTGCTATTTCAAAGCTTGCAAACAACCGCTCGCGAAAACCGATTTCGGCACAGTAGCCAACGTACCGGCAGAAACCACTAGTGTGCTTCTGACCATGAAGGATCGAAACGACAGCACCATGAATAGGCAGCGGTCAACGTTAGGCAGACTTGATCCATCCCTCACAGCATTGCATTTCCCGCACTTTGGCTTCTGAGGGCGTTGCCCGGATGTTGGCAACTGCCGCCGCCGCGATGGCATTCGCAGCCGAGGACATTCAGATGGCACTTCGGGCACCACCGGTACATAAAATGATATGGCTGAGCAACCACTTCCGAAGATAATAGCAGTTGGTTCTTCGTCGGAGTGTCTATTGCGAATACTGCGAAACAAAAGACCAGAAAACAACTCCATAGTACCCATTCGGCGATGCCGGGGTCAATGCGGGTCATGTTCAGCTGACTCAGGGCCGCGGCATTCAAGCTGGGAGTGAAGTAGGTACGTAGGTACTCTTTACCCCGGTGCGTGCCCAAGGAATCTGCAGAGACGCCCCTTTTTGTGCAGTTCTCCGTGCGTCGTCCATCAGCTAAGACTTGTCAAACAATTTGCCGCTGACGACGTTCTCAACGGCCTTTCCTGCAGCCAGTTCATCTGAAAGGGACGGCGAAGCAGTTGGAATGCACATGTCATGTCGAAGCATTTAAAGTTCACTTGGGTGGGATCAGGGAGCCGTAGGAGAAGCCTTCTGAGGCTGCTGCCAAGAGTGTCTCCGGCAAGCCCCAGTCTCTTCTGCATCTGCTCATCAGCCTCGCAATGCCCAAAGCACTCTGCAGCCAAACGCCGGGCCAAGCCAGGCACCCGCACACACCCGCGCAGAGCCTCCCCCCTTCCCCCTCTCCCCACTTCGCTTCCCAACTCCAGGCGAAGCCTGCCACGCACGCTCGCTCACACCCGCGCACCACCCAACTCCTCCTCTAGCAGGAGTTCCCAGTTCAGAACACCTGAATCAAACATTCCGAAAAGTAATCATTCAGGACCGACGAAAAGGGCATCCTGCCTCTGATGCAGTTGGCCCCTGTGACATCCTGATCAGGATTTCCAGCACAAGTGCACGAGTTGCGAGAGATGCCGTGAGCTTGCAACGCACAAACATGAGTCGAGGAGGGGCGAAATTCCAACAGCTTACGTGGAAAAGGATCTTCAAGCATCTCGGAAAAGATCCATAAGCTCGTTTTGCATGAAACCCGAAGCTCTACAGCTTTTTTGTGACTGGGAAACTTTGGACTTCGGAGGTTTGAGGGTGCTCGGGATCGAGGCCTGAGCGCTCAGGGTCCCAGGGTCATGGGATTCATGGCAAGAATGATGCGTCTGCTTCCTCCCCGCCAGCCAGAATCAAAAGCGATACGACTCAGACACTCCCCGGTAACAGCTTTAGCCACAAGAGCACTTGAGAGCCTACAACGCCATCAAAAGCTAAACACGCATCTGCACGAAACTCCCCTCTGCAACTCCCGCTAGGGACAGTCGGAGCCACTTGCTGCCTCTATTGGCTCCTGACCCCAGAGGCTTCAAAATCTGACTTGCGGACGTTCGCAGCATGTCGTCGATGGCCTCCTCTGAAGGTGGCCTCAGACCAAGCAGTGCTTGAAAGACTGATCCCACATACCCACTTACCATAGGCCCCTTGAGTTCATTCCTCTCGCCGTGGAGGTCGCCTGAGGCTCACGCTCACCATCTTCGTTGATGACCTTGATTGAGAAGGAGAGCCCAAACTCCGGGAGACAAAGGTGGAGGGGGCCTGAAAGATCTGCAACAGGATGGGGGGCTGCAAAGCACAAGACATAAGGAAGGACGGTGAGCGCCGCAGCTGAGCACGGAACACCTAACCCATTTCGGGAAAATCTGCCTTTTGCTGCTGCCTTTTGTTCGAAGCGCGCACGATTTTAAGCAAAAGAGTGGGCAGCCTTTCGGTTTCTACTTGGCGTTCGGCTGCGTTCGGCACCATGTTTCTTTGGAGGCTTCAAATGCTAAAGAAAGCATGCTCATAAACAGAGGGCAGTGTGACCGCTTTGGGTCACTGCGTAACCATGTCCTGTGACACGATCATCTGCGTCTGCTGGGCAATGCAGAGCTCCTCATGGGCGTGATCGTGCTACGCATGGCGAGCGGATGCTTAACATGCGACACTACAATATGACGGAAAACCTTCACATTTACTCGACTATTCGCGACTCCACCTTCGCCATTCTGCCTTCCTGAGCTGGAAAAGCGCTCCTCATCCGTGGGTATCACCCAGATCTGTGTTGGGTGGCGCTTGGAATCTATTCGTGTGTCGTCCTTACAAGGAACGGTCTCACTCATGGCACTGTTGCAAACAACCTCTAGTGAATCTTGTGGCGAAGAAGCATCTGCCTGCACATTTGTGTTGGGGCTGGTTGCTTTAGCCTGTCGTTGCAGGCACTGCCTGGCACAAAGTTCTGCCCGATCCGGACTTAAGACCAGGTACTTGCTCGTGCTTCTTGCTGCTCAGATCTACCGCTGTTCCGAGTAGCTCGAGCCGTGACTGAACGTGCAGGCAAGTGGCAGAGAAGCGCCCTCCTTTCGCTTGGTTGACCTCCTCTGCGCTCAGATTCAGAATTTGCAGGACAAATCTCCAGCTCTCTCAGCAAGGACTCGTCTCAATCTGGCACAAGGCCGGCATTCCAACCAGTTCTAGTGTGTCATTCTTGCTCCTTCTTTTCAATTCGGGCTTGCGCAATAGCTGGAACACCTCTCCTAAAAGTTGAACTTTTTGCCTCCTTGCTATGAACCAGGAATTTCGCAACCCACACAGTTAAGAGTTGAAGTCTGAAGGTCTTAAGGGCGCCAAACCCTAAACCCTACCAGTAAGGGCCCACCAGAAGGCAGACAATATTTCAACAGATGACTACCCCGCAATCTCCTCATCGACTTCAAGGCCCAGCCGGTCTAGTCCCTGGCAAACGAGCGTCCTCCAGGGGTTTAGGGTTTGGGATTTAGGGTTTTGGGTCTGTGAAGGTTTCAATGCAGCAGCCATGTCCCGATTGTGGAGGGCCATCTCACAGGTTGATCCCACCCCACGCCGTGTCAGGCGGCAAAACCACCCTAACCCACTCCGCTTAGAATTCAAGATTCAAGACAAAAAACCTTTCTTGCGTGTGGTGCTTGAGTTTCCTTCACAAAGCCCTGAATTAGAGTCGGGCGCCCCAGAAGTCGCAGGGGTGTGCGGAGAGAAGGCTGAGTTCACTGTTGGGGCTTGGAAAGGTCCAGGGTCTAAGGAGTCTAAGGCTCAAAACCCTCAACCACACAGGATCCCGATCATACCCCCAGAGTCGCCATCCTCGCAACTGTCGTCACTTTTGCAGCCCCTGAGCTTCCTGTGCTCAGGGAAGGGTGGGGGAGGTTCTATGATTGCGGTTCGCGGCTGGCCGGCCCGAAACCTGTTTCCGTACACCTGCGCACCGTGCGACAGCCTAGAAACCCTAAACCCTAACCCCCACAACCACACCATTTGGTGGGCTTCCCCCAGGCCCTACCCATATAAAAGGTGCCGTACTGCATTGAAGGCTCTTATGAACATGGGCTGAAAAGGAAGGTTTGAGGGGAGGGGCGCGAGGGGAGAATACTGTTAAATTAGGTGATTACCTGTCGCGTCAGTGCACAACATGTTCCACACTACGCAGGCTGGGGGGGGGGGGGGCGAAATTTAACGGGGGGACAATAAACATCAGATGGCTGCCTGTCTCTTCAAGGCGCAACATGTTCCACACAGGCTGGAGGGGGGGGCGGGATGCCGCTTCAGGGCACAAACTCTGCCGTGGAGATCTAAGGGGTAATTGGGGGGCTGCACCCTAAACCCTAAACCCTAAACCCTAAACCCTAAACCCTAAACCCTAAACCCTAAACCCTCGAAACTCCAAACTGGAAGCCTGGAACTTCCAAGACCTCCTGCAGACCCCATTTGTTTCACTCAGACAAACCCTAAACCCCTAAACCCTAAACCCCTAAACCCCTAAACCCCTAAACCCCTAAACCCCTAAACCCCTAAACCCCTAAACCCCTAAACCCCTAAACCCTAAACCCCCACACACATATTCCCTCGGTCCTCAGCAGGTGGGACTTCTCCCCCAAACCTCCGGTGAAGACCAGGGCATCCACCTGCCAAGATGTTCGAGGACAAGGAAAAGGCTGGCAAGTCCAGCAATCATCAAGTATTGAGGATCCTGACAACATCCAACATTTCGAGATATGGGGCTTTACGACAACAGGTGACCCTAAATAGACCCACCATAATTTTGAGGCATCCGGGCTTATTGCGAGGGAGGCCTTCCCATCCAGTGCCACCAGAAAGGCACCCAAGTATTTTCTCATCCTGTAGACCTGGACCTGCCAGAGCTCACACGTTTGGACTCTCACTGGAGCCGAGTGGAGCACGACAAAAAACAAGTGTACTATTTTGGACTCATTGACTCATCTTTATTATTATAAACTGGTCATGTCTGACACTCTGCCTCCTTGGCCAGTGTACCCCGCGGTTTCTGTTCGAAGTATTCACGCTCCACGTCACGGTCGTCGGAGAGTCCGCAAAGCCCCAGCAACCCTGATTCCTCTCGGGGCGTCATGGTATGTGAGGGATGCTGGTTAAGCAAAAGGTAAAGTTACTGTGAGAGGGACATCTATGTCTACTAGCACCATGGAGGCCATGACTAAACTCTTGCGGATGCCTTGTTCATGAGGTTGTTGACCTCCTTTGCCGTGTACCCCAGCTGGTCCATGAGGTGTATTGGTACGGCTGGATCAATGTCGCCGCACCGGGTGCCCATGACGAGTCCCTCCAAGGGGGTCAAGCCCATGGTGGTGTCCACACATTTGCCCTGCTTGATTGCGCACATGGACGCACCATTGCCCACGTGGCAGGCAATGATGTTGAGCTTCGACAGGGGCTTGTTGAGCACCCGCGCCGTCTCCTCGGCCACGTAAAGGTAAGACGTGCCGTGAAAGCCGTACTTTCTCACGTGGTGGTTCTTGTATAAGTCATAGGGGAGTGCGTACATGTACGCATAAGGCGGCATGGTTTGGTGAAAGGCAGTGTCGAATACCGCCACTTGCGGGCAATTCTGCCCGAACAGCTCAGCAGCAACCTCTATGCCCAAGATGTTCCAGGGGTTGTGCAGAGGGGCCAAGACGGAGGCATCCCGAACAGCCTTCAGAACTGTTTGGTTTATCAGCGCTGCGGATTTAAAACTCTCGCCGCCATGCACGACACGATGGCCCACCGAACTGATGTTGTCTTTGCCTGGCAGCAGGTCCACAACACGGCTCAGGGCAGTCCGGTGGTCGGGGAGGTCGACCTTATGAACCTTCTTCCCTTCATGCGTCTCCTCCTTTATGCGACACTCGGTCTTTGTCGAAATGCCCTCTGCAAGGCCATGTACCAGTCGACTCCAGCGCCCCGGCGACCCGGTAATGCCAAAGAGCGCGTACTTCAGGGAGCTGCTCCCGGCATTGAGCACGAGAAGCAACTCCTTGGAGGCAGCCATCGGAAGAGAGCGAGTCGCTTCAAACGGGTCAGCCCTGTAAAGTGGCTGCGGGAAGCATGTTGATCCAAGGCATTGGGCCTCTTCATGCGCCAAAACTCGCAAGACCATGGCCACGGTGAGGAGGGTGCTTGGTTGAGGGGGTGGGAAAAAGGTGGGCCTGATTGACCTGAGCTTCGGGCGGCGAACTCCATGTCCGGCTCGGCGCAGAAGAGGCCTAAAACAATGCCAAAGCACTCGTTCAACAATTCTGCCGTCTTGCGCCACCAGAACTTTCCTTTTTGCCCTAGACTCCCCTTAGAACCTTCATATTCACTTGGGTTTTATGTAATTAAAAGTCAAACAAAAGAAGATTCCCAAGGGGGCTATAGTTCCCACCCAAACTTCTTACAAAGTCGGCCCTTAGAGGCCCCAGCTGCGGACCAGGACGCCGGCCAGGGAGCTGCGCCTCGGAAAAAATGCGACTTCTGTGCTGGTTCGGTGCCACAGCGCAGCTTGGAGTTTGACAAGAATCCAAGAGTTAATGTTTGATAAAACATTAGAGTTAATGTTTTATAAAACATCAAAACATTGTTTTACAACACATTAGCAGGGCATTTCAAAGGCTGATCCCGCTGGAGTTTTCGCTGCCCTTGCTCCTGATGGCATTTTGGTTGGACGACTGCAAGTGGAGTGGGGAGCTGACGCCAAACCCTGTGTCCGCTGAACATTGTGCGGCATGCTTGGTGGGTCCCTGTCGGTTCAGCTAGAGTTGCTTGAGTTCCTCCCAACGGCTCCTCTCCTGACTCGGGACTGCACTGCAACAAGGAAAGTGACCCAAGTCGACATTTAAAATTGGGTAAACCTCTATGACGGCCGTAGACCACAAGAGCTCCCCCCCCCCCCCCCGCAACAAGTTGTGCAAGCGACCAGAAATCGATATCTTGAGGCCGATGCAGTGTGTCACCCACAGCTGTGTCACCTGCTTCCAGCTTGACAGCCCCGACGCTGGAGTCCTGGCAAAGAACACCGTCTAACGTAGGTCCGTCTCCCCCCCTATGTGACACATATGTATGTCGTAGACCCTGAATTGGAGACCTCCTTCAGAGGAGGGGGCCGGCCGCCAAGAGAACGGCTTTTCACAAACCTAAAGCGGCCTTGGGCCTGTTACCGGATCTACTGTCACGATGCCGCTGCGCATGGTTCCTGCGAAAGGTTCTGGCCTGTTGCAACCCGTTTTTGCAGCTTCGAACTTGCACACGACAATGGGGCCTTGCATCAACCCCCCAATAGCCACCTTGTCAAGCTGGAAGAGCGTGCCCAGGTAGCGATTGTTGTCGTAGGGGCCACCAAACAGCCTCGAGCTTCGAGCTTCGTGAGGGTACTGTACCGACTCATGGACCGACTCTGCGGCTGCACATATGCTATGACGCTGCTACGACAAGCGCCGTTAACCTCTGCACTCACGTGAGTTGGGGCCATTCCTACGCAAATCTTCCGAAGCGCCGCGCACGCGGATGCAGATGCGCCGTTGCAGAATCCTTGCCGAGTCGATGGCTGCCCGGGCCGAACCACCGTGACACCGAAGCCTCGCTGTTTGGCCTCAGAGCACCAGGCATTTGCCGAAATGTGGATGTTTCCAACGTCCTTTCTCTGAAGTTCCCATACTGAAAAGCCTTTGCCTATTGAGGATACTGGAGCCAAGACCTATTAAGCGGCAGAGGGCAGCGACACATTACACCCCCAAGACTCTTGCGTGGCCCATCGTAACATTCGCTTGGTTGAAGCTAGCGGCCAATCATTTTGCATCTCTTGCGGGGTCGTGCCTTTTGCGACGCGAGAGGCTCACATAGGACACACTGTTACACTCCCCGATACCTAAGTAGGGTTTAGGGTTTTGGGGTTTAGGCTTTAGGGTTTAGGGCCTGAACCAAAAGGATGAGGAGAGGACAAGTTCGCGCACTGCTGCTTCGCCCCTGGCCTGATTCTCATGTTGAGGCTCCACAGAAAAACGAACTCTACTGGCACTTCACTGACCAGAGCTTGCACAAACCTTCCTGTTGCTTAGTAGGGAATGGGGGAATGAGGTACCCTGTATAATCTCTTCAAGGGTATATATATATATACATATCTATATATATATATATCTCTCTCTCTCTCTCTGCCGCTGCTTCCCAAAGGTCCCACTGCGTGAGGCAGCCAAACACCCACTCAGATCAGCAGGCGTGAAACTATAAGTATAAGTATAAATATAAATATAAATAAATAAATATATATATATATATATTGCTAACCAACAGTAAGAGACAAGAGTCCTTCGCGTCCAGCACGCCACCACCGTTGAGGATGCTGTAGGGAAAACCATCCCGGCGAGTCACGCCTCCGCCACACGCAGACTTTGTAGGCAGCTGAACTTCTCATTGTGGGTGCTGTTTCTGACTCGTTGTGGGTGCTGTTTCTGAGTCTACAAGTCCGTGCTCCCCATTGTCTTCAGCAGGCGCTGCCCTTGTCGGTTTGAGAATAGCCCCAAGGCTTCATTCAGGATGTCCATGCTGAAGGAGAAAAGGCTGCTAAGGCACATAGCCGTTGACAAGTTGTATAAACCCTAAACCCTAAACCCTAAACCCTAATCTTGAGGAAGCAGCGCAACGGGGAGTCGGACCGGCCTATGGAAGACATGAGCACAAAGCGGCGCTTTGGCCTTCAGGAGACAGGAGCTCAAGGATGCATAGCGCAAAGCTGAGGGTTTAGGGTTTAGGGTTTAGGGTTTAGGGTTTAGGGTTTAGGGTTTAGGGTTGACGAAGCCCATGATGCTGCCACAGGCGAACATACGGCACCGTACGTGGGAAAACCCTTCACAACACTTTCGGGAAGCATGGGCTATTGTCGCTGACGTTCGCTAAACTTGCTGAGCGCAGTGCCCCGAAGCTGCAGACCTTGTGGTCGGTGACCAGAGTTGTCAAGGTTCCCGTGATTCGTGTGACATTGACGTGGATCTTAGTGGGCTGACCAAACATGCGCGGCGTTCTTGACGCCAAAGTGGTCCACCTCAGGCATTCCGGCATCGGCTGCATCGGGGTATCAGTAGGCCAACGCTGAAAATGTTAGTTTAATCTTATCTGAATCACCCCTGGTGACCCCTTGAAAAATCAAAGGCTCCTGGGAATCGAGCGGATTCTGGATGATTGCCTTTCTCCCACCTCGGACGCAAAACATCACAAACCTTGCAGCTCCCAGTGTCGACGTCTTTGTTTGCGGATGTTTGCAGCGCTTTCTAAACTCTGCTTGTTTGTGTCGTGCTTGACAAACCTTATGCAATCTTGTCTATGTATCGACACTGGATGAATCCTCTACGTGGCAAACATCTCACACTGTCTGATGTTGGGCCGGATGGTTACACAGTTCCGTTAGCCGACGCTCCGTCATGTGTCTTGACCAGCTCGTCTTTGAACTGGCAAGGGATTTCGGAGGTGCTTGTGAAGTCCAGCTTGACTGGTGAGGGCATCAGATTGGGATGTTCCCCTTATGTCCTTAATAGGGATTCAACTAGGGGGTACTACAACCCGTATTAAGGACTGTGAGTATAGGGGGAACATCCCAAGTATCATCTCCCAGTGGCAGCCCTTCTCCGAGACTCGGCTATGCTGGCGACGCAACTGCAAGCCCTAACTCGCCAGATCGCAAACTTTGTGGCGCCTTGCTGACGCTTCAGTAGCCATCTGCACTTTATATCTATATATATATAAGTGTAATATATATATATATATGTATTACACATATATATACAGAGATATAGTAATCCACCGCAAATCTTCAGAAATCAGCAATCACACCAAATTGTTCGAGGCTTCCGCTGTCCTGCAATCCCGAAGGCTGGGACGCCAGTAGTGCAAACCTCCGTGACACCAAAAGCAGAGACCAAGATGGTCTAGGATTAGGGTTTAGGGTTTGGGGTCCAGGATTTGGTCATGAAGTGTGAGGGCGGGCGCATACGAATACTGTGAGGCCTACATGGAGTCTACTTCATGACCTTGTGCAGGTTCTGTGGTCCAAATTCTCTGGCCACCTATTGAAAGCAAGAGCCCTCCTCGAAACCCTAGCTATATGATTCAGAATTGATGTGCACGACGATGAAGAGATCCTATGGCAAAGCTTAAACATCTTCAACTTGTGTACGCTCTGCTCTGGGAACTCTGGATCTCAAGGTTGCACTCAGCAAAACCACCAAATCAGCACACCGGACATGACCGCCTTTGGCTTGACGACTTCGTTGCGCTCCCTATCATAGCACGTTCGCCAACATCCGTACAGATAAGGGCGTCTGGGCCACGAGCCACTGCGTTCGCAGTGCCTCTGCATCCATTTCGAGTGAGAGTGGGTGCATGGTGCAAGGCAGATCTTAAAACTCCAGTTTTGTGACAGACAATGTCATGTATGCCGACACGACAACCTTTGCCGCGGCTTCAAAGCTTCTACCCGTCCGCACCAGTGCTCATCCTTCTCCGGGTCCGGCGCTGAGTGGCTCCTGTAGGGCGAGCGCGTCGCGAGAGTCCTCGGAAGCCAAACTCTCTGCAGCTCTGAGAGCCATAGTTCTGATGGGTTAGGAATCGGATGCAACAGACAAAGAGCGCTATATGGTGCACCAAAGCCACCAGCGCATGAATACCTGCATTACTTGAAACCCAAAACCCTACACTCTTTGGCCTAGACCCTAGACCCTAAACGCTTGAAACGCTTGTCTAAAACCTTTTGCCCCTAAACCCCCGTGTGGCAGAAGGGTCTGAGGACGCGGCTGCCTCGAAGAGCGTCAGCCCCGACATGCCCTCGGCCTCAAGCTACACAAGGTTCTGAACAACTTTGCTTTGAGTCATCCATCATGATCTCCAACAAGCTCTGGGCTTAGGGTTTGCGAGGCGCTCTCTGTGTATTTTAGGTTTAGGGTTTAGGGCTTTTAGGGTTTAGGGCTTCGGGTTTACTCACCCAATGCATATGTCAACGAGCGCATGTATGACTGCATGTATGCGTGTATGCATGCATGTAACAGGTCAAGAAAGAAGAACAAAAAACTTAGCTGGATCTTGATTTATCAGGCGCACTGTGCTCAAGCCATCCTTCGTCATGCCATGTTTCATCTTATCCTAGTGACTGTTGCAAACACGCTGGAGCAGGTTGTTGCCAGGCTAGTCTGGGGACTATCAAGACAACCGGCCGCATGATCTGACGTGCGTTCGGCATATGACCCGGCTCATGGTTTCAGCAGCAGCATGAGTCCTGAAACAATCGTCTTGCGGTCAGTAGTTGCAAAATGAAACAAAACGATCTTTAATATACATATGGCCAAAGCTCTGCCATGATCTGTCTGAAGTTTGGACCGGCATTGTATGGTCTGGCATGGACAGACATCTAAAACCTGACCTGGCATGCGAACGGTCAAGTAAGGAATTGTAGGGTGAAGGAGACTGGTGTTGAATCAGCTGGCAGGCTACACGCAATCTAAACTAAACCAAATGACCATCCCAGGATCTCCCGGGCTGGGATTCATACTCAGCTCCACACCCACTTGGCGTTCTCTCTGTTCCGCAGTACCTGAGAGAAGAAACGTCTGGAATCAACAGGCGTCGACTGCACCAAGCTCAAAGAACACTCAGCATCACCGAGGGGAGGAGGGTTCGGAACAGCATGACGTGCTGACGGGGGTAGCGCTGGCGCCGTCTCAGGCTCGCTCTTCGTAAACATGCGACATTCTGTCGGGCCAGCCTCTGGCGTGAACAAGCCTGGCCACCAAGCCCTGTTAACCTACGCCCAGCTGAGTTAAAGTGAAGGCTTCTTCCCTCTGAGCGAAGCTTTTGCGCATTGCGCCGTATCGAAAGTGAAACACCAACTTCGTAAACTCTCCTAAGTGGTGTGTCTACTGCAAGAATGCGCGAACACACACACACACAAGGTTCAAATGCAAAATCTTCGAGTGTGCTTCAAGGGGAGGGCAACCGCAAAGCAAAACCTCAAGCCCCAAACAAGCATTGCCGAACAACACATAACATTTACAGTAACTGCAAACCAATAAAAGGTCAAAGCCGCCACTACTAACGGTCGTGTTTCTCCACGAGGCCTCTGCTGTTTTTGACTTCTGCCTTGACAAACTGTCAGTCAAGACATGATTGCGAAACCCAAAGTCCAAGCCTTCCTATGCACACAAGGGCATGCGCCTTTTCAAGCAGCATTTTTTGCGAGTTTCTCGAGGCCTGTTCCTTAATATTTAAAGGTCATTTTGGGCTCTTTGGGCCCATCTGCTGGCGGGACTGGGTCGCGCACGCCATGCACTTGGAACATGTTCATGCTGCAGAGTCGCTGAGCGACCAGTCGGCCCACCTCAGTCCAAGCCAGGTCTTAAAAGATAGAGCTGCTTTTAGGGTTTAGGGTTTAGGGCTTAGGGTTTAGGGCTGAGGCCATGCACGATAATGCACCAGAAATCCATGCCAGCCGATCGACTTCGTCGTACAAGCTACATACATACAACAAGGCAACATAGGAAGTCTGGCTCAAGCAGGCCCTTCGCTCTGTTTCTTCTGACCGATGGCGGGTCTTTGGCAAGACATCTCGTACCTCGTGGGAACCTGTGTCGTCACAGGCTTGACACGGATAGGAGCCGGATGAGGCCGACGTTTGCAAAATCTCGCAAACAAGAGAAGCTTCAGCAAAAGAGTCTGCCTATGCGTTCATCTACTTCGGCCGGCCAGCATCCTGGTCACCCACCACATCTGCCGATGGTGCAGCGGCCCTCGCCCACAAAGCAAAGCGACACCAGATCCGTCTGCTCTTACGTCTCGGGGTTTACATGCCGCAAAGCGATCAGCAGGGCAGCAGCTGGAAGCAACCAGTGACCAAGCCACTTGTTGAACGTATTGACATGTGCCGGGACAGCAAATCAGGCACGAGTCACTACGTTCAGCGTTCAGGTGCGTTTCGTCCTCCGTGTCTGGGGCATCCACTCAGCAATGCAAGTATGTTGCCCTTGTGCTTTCTAAACAGAACCCCAAACACGGGAATCTCACTGAATCTGTCGAATCAGTGAATTGGTATGCTTTCCCACAAAGCTGGCGCCTTTTGAGAGGGAACCGACAAGTAAGTGCACTGAGCGGTGCCCCGCGGCATTCTCGAGTGATCTGAGTTCAGGGATAGATCATTATTAAGGGTCTTGCAGAAGCATCGGCACTGTCGACGGACTCCCAGTTCTCTCAACGACAGTCTCTCGACGTGTTTGAATCCACTCGCCGTCCCAAAACTAGCCCCAAGGGTCCGACATCGTGAAAAAAACGCAGCCCTCAAGCTACGTGTACTCATCCAGGATTTTCGGGATCACACATTGCATTGGACCCTTAGGGTATCTGCCAAAGGCAAAACTTTGACATAATCGGACTGTTCATCCTATGCCCAGCTGCCTTGCACATCTGCGCCTCAGGGCGCAGTGCACGGCAGGGCATCTCTCAATCAATTGGTCTGCGAGAAAACAAGGGGCTAGTCCAAACCTCGTGCTGAACTCACCGTGGGGCTTGTCATCCCGGCTAAGTCTTGCGGGCCACTGCTAAGCTGATAAACAGGCTTCACAACAATCGTCTTCTTATTGATTGGGCTTTGCCTTCAAAGGCAGCTGAAGGGTTGCCGGAGAACCCCTTGAGACTAAGTCTGGGGAGAGTATAGGGCAGAGATTCCCAAATAAAAACCAAGGACCCTTCTCATCGTCATAGAGGGGTACCTGACACCAAGCAGCCCTTCGGCTTGAAACGGTCCTGGCAACTACATGCAGTATGCACGGCTACGGCCAGGCTCAGACGAAATCACAGCACCTGGACTTCTTCTGCTCCAAGGCCCTGGGCATCCTGTGGCAAGTTTAGGGTTTAGGGTTTAGGGTTTGTTGTAGAATGGCGTACAAGCTGTAAATGTGACAGTTTTCAGTAGAGCACCACCCCACGCCGGCAAAACCACCCAAACCTATTCCGTTTAGGGTTCAGGCCTAAACTCAAGCCAACCGCCCACTTCCAAAAACTTCTTCCGTTCCAGGGCCTCTCGTGTCGGGTGGCAGGGGGGTTCCAGAGAGGGCTCCAGAAATCTCAAAATCCCAGCAGGTCCCAGAAAGGTCCCAGAAAGGTCCAGAAGGGTCCTAGAGGGGGTCCCAGAAAAGTCCCCGGGAGCAGGGCATCAGAAAGGGGAGCCAAAACATAACTTGAGGTTTTTACTTTTGAGCTATGGCTAGAATACCCCGTATTATAATCCCTTTGTAGGACTGTTAGTATAGGGGGGAACATCCCAAGTTGTGGTCCTTGTACACGTGGAAGCAGACCCTGGATCCTGGTTCGACTGTTCCCGCTGTCACATCCTGGCAAGATGAGATAATAATAAGAATCATCTTAAGAATAATCTTAAAAATAACAATAGCCGTCATCATAATATAAATAGAAATAGTAGTAATAGTAATAGTAATAGTAATAGTAATAGTAATAGTAATAGTAATAGTAATAGTAATAGTAATAGTAATAGTAATAGTAATAGTAACAGTAACAGTAATAGTCATAGTCATAGTAATAGTAATAGTAATAGCAATATTAATAATAACAGTAATAGTAATAGTAATAGTAATAGTAATAGTAATAGTAATAGTAATAGTAATAGTAATAGTAATAGTAATAGTAATAGTAATAGTAATAGTAAGTAATAGTAATAGTAATAGTAATAATAGTAAATAGTAATAGTAATAGTAATAGTAATAGTAATAATAATAGTAATAGTAATAGTAATAGTAATAGTAATAGTAATAGTAATAGTAATAGTAATAGTAATAGTAATAGTAATAGTAATAGTAATAGTAATAGTAATAAAGGAAAGCCGCGAACCGAACCGCAAACCGGAACCGAACCGCCAGGAACCGCACGCACGAAGGAACCGTGTGAACCGTGAACCGCCGAAACCGCGACAAACACGAACCGCCATGGAACCGAACCTGAAGCCAAGGCCTCCAGCCTCCAGCCCCTCCTCCAGCCCCTCCATCCCCTTCAGCCCCCTTCCAGCCCCTCCAGCCCCCTCCAGTTTCTCCCCTCCAGCCCCTGCCCTCCAGCCCTCCAGCCCCTCCAGCCCCCTTCCAGCCCCAGCCCCTCCATCCAGCCCCTCCAGCCCCTCCAGCCATCCATGGAGAGGGGCTGGAGAGGGGCTGGAGACTGGAGGGAGGGGCTGGAGGGGCTAGAGGGGCTTGGAGGGGGTTGGAGAAATGGAGGGCTGGAGGGGCTGGAGGGGGCTGGAGGGGCTGGAGGGCTGGAGGGGCTGGAGGAGGGAGAAACTGGAGGGGGCTAAGGGCGGGCTGGAGGGGCTGGAGGCTGGAGGGGCTGGAGGGCGTTGGGGGCTGGCGGCTGGAGGGGCTGGAGGGGCTGGAGGGGCTGGAGGGAGGGTGGGAAGTGGGAGGGGCGGGTGGAGGGGCTGGAGGTGGAGGGAGGGGTGGGGGACCCGAACCGAACCGAACCGAACCGCAAACCGCAGCGAACCGCTTGAACCGGAACCGTTCCAGAGTATGTACCCCAAAACCGAACCGAACCTACACGAACCGTGGCCTTACTGGTAATAGTAATAGTAATAGTAATAGTAATAGTAATAGTAATAGTAATAGTAATAGTAATAGTAATAGTAATAGTAATAGTAATAGTAATAGTAATAGTAATAGTAATAGTAATAGTAATAGTAATAGTAATAGTAATAGTAGTAATAGTAATAATAGAAATAATAGTAGTAGTAGTAGTAGTAGTAGTAGTAGTAGTAGTAGTAGTAGTAGTAGTAGCAGTAGCAGTAGCAGTAGCAGTAGCAGTAGCAGTAGTAGTAGTAGTAGTAGTAGTAGTAGTAGTAGTAGTAGTAGTAGTAGTAGTAGTAGTAGTAGTAGTAGTAGAAGTAGTAGTAGTTAGTAGTAGTAGTAGTAGTAGTAGTAGTAGTAGTAGTAGTAGTAGTAGTAGTAGTAGTAGTAGTAGTAGTAGTAGTAGTAGTAGTAGTAGTAATAAATCATAGTCGTAGTAATAAAACCAATCATATACAGCCTTGGCGCCTGGCTACCGCGCATTCAAGGTCTGCAGCATTCCAGTGGCATATTGTCATATTGTGCTCTGGATGGCAAACTTGAATGGAGAGAGAAGCTCTGCTAGCCCTTTGACGAAAAGGATACGGATAAGATATGCTATAGTACAGATTGGCACCTGCACGACTCAAAACACACATGCTGGCATCCATGCACACCTGGCTGCGCAGGTGTTGTGTCAGCATGCCTTCTTGCTCGCGTAGATCTTGCCCTCACGCTGCTTCGCGGAGGGGTGATCAATGGGCGTGTTGGACTTGAGCCAACCGAAGGTGTCCTCCCAGGAGTGCCATGCTTCGGCAAAACGGAGCCCACTCGACTCCAGGCGCTGCCACCCTCAACCGCCATGTGACAACAGCCCTTTCAGCTGGCTTTTGACGGCTGCTCTCGACCCTCGATGCCTTTGCCCCCCGGCCTTCCACTCCACTACCTCCCCGTTCACCGGCTCTTCTGTGACCCGCTCACGCGGGAGGTTGGGGCCCGAAGGACCACCCCACCTTCGAACAAGCGTTCCGGAGCTTGATTTAGGGTTTATTAGGGCTTAGGGTCTTGGGTTTCGGGAAAACGCCCAGTTGACTAGCAGCATCTGATCTATCAAGCCTGCCGATGTCCTCTAGGCCTTGTTCCAACAAACGATTTGGCACCGAAGGTAGTGAAATCCACTCCGTTCGCCACGTGCTGCTGAGCCGCATCATCTGCCAATCCCAAGGGCCCCACATGAAGCCAAAGCCCTTTCCCTTGCCTTTGCCTTTTCCTTTCCTTAGACATGCGGGAATATGGCGGACTGCTTGGAGGGAATTCAGCAGGACCCTCCCGCAACATAGACTTAAAGCTTGATGTTCTCATGTCCATGGGCAGTGCAGGCTTTGTGGCACAGGGCCCCATGCCCGCACCTGTCTCTTTCTCGCGAATCTGTTCTGGCCATGGCTGGGTTTGGTCGTGTGGCCCACCGTGGCCCACTGTGGTCTTGAGAACTTGCATGTGGCCTGCAAAAAAGCTGTGCGTGCCAGCAGACTTGCTGGCACCCCTGCAAACAAGCCTGCGCACCTCGAGCGCTCAAGCCAGCCGCGCAACGAGCGTGCAGGGAAGTAAGCGGGCTCGCAAGCGAGCTTTTGTGCATGCATGCCAGCAAGAGCACAAGAGAGCCCAAAACCCAGGTTTTCGACTGCGATGTTTTATCCAATGCAGCCCTCCCGCCTGAGTGAAAACAACATCGTCTGACGTTGCTGCTAAAATGCAAAAACATTGCTTGGCTCAGTAGGCT